CCAAAAGAGGTAACATATGAAAGAGATCATGTCTTCCCTGAAACTTTCAGATGAATTAGGTAAGTAATGGCAAAAATGACCAAATTTGAAGGTAACAAATATGTACAACTACATTTTTGGAAACCTGAAGTTTCATCACAGCAAGGACAACTATGGAACAAAATGCAAAACACATTTTTGGGTCTTTCAATGACCTTCAATTAGGGAAGATAATATGCACATACAATATTTCCCCTTTTATGTTGGATTTTGTGCGATTCATTTTGAAATTACCAGCAATACCAAGATCAGTTTATTTCTAATGATATAATCTCAACTTCTGCATTTTCTAGTATTTGGAAGGGGATAACTTTTCACCTTTCAGGCTACTGCAACATTTAACAGGGTGACAATATATATAGTTCAAATAAGCATACATAATTATACATTTTAAGTTTGAAGGTTAAAAAGGACAAATAGGATATTGTTTGTGGTCATTTTCCCTGTGTGCCTTCCCCTTGAAAAAGACATTTTAAAAAAACAAAAAAACTGAAGACTGCAGGTGGGAGAGGGTCTGATGCAGAGGTACCTGCTCAGCATTGCCCCAGGCAGCAAGTTGTGCAGACACGGAGTACCCCCTGTGGGATTTCAGCTTATTTAAAATCACACAAAGTAATTAAAGGAGGTGTGTTGGTACCGCTGCTGTGGCTACCTGATGATCTGGTACCAAAGAGCACATGTAACTTACAGCCCACTTGGAGACGTGAAGGTGGTGCTTTTGTTGAGTGGAGAAAGCGACACGGTACAGACATAACGTTAGGACACGAGTACTTCATAGTACAGAAGACAAGTGTGAACAGACTTCAAGCTAGAAGGATGACTGTTTATGCATACTTCATTTGTAGCTAGGAATCACTCTTCTCTGGAGACCAGCTGCTAAATCATGGGCGTAAAACACTATTTCTGTAACGACTCAGACAAAATTCTTTAATTTTCATGAACATATTTTCTAATCAATGGACAAGGTATTACTGGAGGGATATTGATAGCATTTTTTGTTGTTGCTGGTTCTATTCATCATGCATGCATGTAGTATGAAATATTTTCACTTGGCAAAGCAGTTTGCTGCATCTGAAATGACTTCACACATCATTTCAGATCAACGAAAATTTCTTTTCTGGCAAATAATCTATATGCCAATTAATCAGTTTATTTTGGACTATTTTCAATCTCAACCTCATACTCAACTCTCTGGACAATACTGCTTTATTACTGGGAGGATGAACTTTTCAGAAGATAAATAACCTTGGCTTCCACTGACTTCAGTTGCAGCTGCAAGTGTTCATAGAGGTGCTACATTTTTCTCATCTTATTGCCAGAAAATGTATATGCAGACTTATCAATCACCTACCAAGTATTATACCATGCATGAGTAGTAGGATGAACAGTTTTCCTATATGGCACTATCTAGGYTGGCATCTTATTTTTAATAGTAGGCATCATCTTGCTCTCAGCATGCCTTTTTACTCCTTGATGAGTAAGAAAAATATGATACAAAAATACAGCTTCACTAAGCTACACAGCCTTCATTCATCTCCAATCACTGTCTACATTCTGTATCAAATGAAACAGCATCGTCTGGAAAAATGGGATGTATTCAAAAGACCATTCAAGTAAAGTTACATGAGTAATCAAAAGACGTGAGACTTGATTTTGAAAAAATTAYTTTGTCTACAATATCTTTGATTATTTTTTAATAAAAATGTTATTAAATTTCTCTTGACAACTAATCTTTCTGTTGTATTTCACAAGGATCAAGAGTTTGACTCAGAAGCGCCAATGACACTACACAAGTCTGCATGACTTTAATGACATAACTAGCAACAGTGTCAATCCATAAGGAAAGCATAGTGCGGAAAAGAGGAACGGTRCATTCGCTTACTAACATGGAAAAACAGATTGAAATATGCTCCTACATGGACTTTTTGACCATGCAGCAGGGACTAGGGAGAATCTTTTGGTCCTTTTGACCGTAACTGAAGGGCCTGCCTAACAGACAAGACAAGAGAGAGGAGAGGAGAGGAGAGGAGAGGAGAGGAGAGGAGAGGAGA